TTGGACTCTTTTAAAAATRAAAGGAGTCAATAAAAATGAAATTAAAAATGAAAATATTGTTGCAGGGCAGCATTCTGAATGCAAGCCACAAGTAAAACATAAAATGCAATAAAAAAGTAAAATGCGAAGTCTGTTAGCTCATCCTGCTATTGTTCCTATGTTTTATTGCTTTATTGTTTACATGCCAAGCTGATGTTTGGCATATACAGCATCTTGCCTCACCAATTTGGTCTGTTTCTTATTTAGAAATGAGAAGTGAACAGTGTCATGGGTATAGAAGGGGAAGATCTTCCAAACAACTTTTACTAGTGCTGGTAACAGTGGAGAAGCAGGTTTGTTAAAGTGAAGGAACAAAGAAAATGTGGAATAGATTTGGACACTTAGAGCAGATATTTAGAGAGAGAAAAAAAAAGATCTCCTTGACAGAGGGTACGTTATATATATATATATACACACATATATATATATGTATATATAGGGGAATGAGAAGAGCAGATCAAAATATCTGACAAGACTGAAGCATGCCAGAGAAGGAAAGGATGAGCCAACCTGGGATCTGAAGGGAATAAAGCTYCCATTGCTTCTTTGCACTGACATGGGACATATCAGCGAGCCTGGCACARCACCACACTGGATGTGTTGTGTTGGTCACATCTATTTTACCTCATTTTCTTTCCTATTCTTAGCAACCTGTGTTCTCCTCGCAACATCAAGGTTTTGGGCTACTTGGAGAGGCTTGGGATGATACATGAAGTAAAATGACCATTAATCATAAACCAGAAGTCAGGAAGAGTATCCACTATACCCCACAAAACAGGTATCTTGAAGAATAAACTTTAAAACATCCTGAGATCCACATCCCTGTTCATCCTGCTGGGTGAACTGTCAGAAATTTCCAGAAATTACCCTACTTTTGGAGGGTAGCCCTACCAATCACCAGTATAACGCTGCAGCAACCTGCAGGTATCCTTTGTGAAAATGGTACTGTCTGTTCTGAGCAGAGGAGGCCTGAAGCTGATCCCCTTCTGCCTTTCACAGCCAGAGGAATTGAGACCATTTCCAGGGAGATCCGGAGAATTTCCTTAATGAAGAGTCAGTGAGTGACAGGGACTGCACCCTGCACTCATCCTAGCAGCACGTGACTCTCATTTGATTCTTATTTTTTAATGGTAAAAGGCTTTCTGAAATCCATTTAAGTCTATTAGCGCCCGCAGAAAATTGTGCACTCACTCCTTTTCTCAAAATAAATATCCTGGACTTAATGGAGCGTCGCGTCCTTTCACTACCAGTACCCAAGAGCTCCAATTATGCATTATTAAGCTATTAAACTGCACGGAACGAAAGGAATTGGCACTTACTGGCAAGATCACTGTTCTAAAATGCTTCGTAATACGCTGCTGAAAAATTAGCAAGCAGCTCTAAAAGTGCCATCTCCCGCCAGCTGCCATCGCTTTGTTTTCTCCAACATTTATGAGCACCTTTATGAGTTCATTTTATGCATGCACACATATATGCAGAGGTCTGTGCATGCAGAGCCTGCCCGTGCGCTCACATATGGAGCGGGCAGGAGATTTCAGCACGAAGCCAGCTCGTTCAGAGCAAGTTGCAGCTTCTTCCTCCTAAAGACACAGGGATCCCTAGAAGTACACTAAGACCAGACAGAATATAGGGTCCTAAAAGCTTGAGGATAGAAAGCAAAAGCCTCCTTGCATGTCCCATCTAGCTTAAATCATGTATGTACAATTTATAATATATTTATACATATATATCAATAATAAATAAATGAACAGTAGAGCTTCCTTCTATTTATTGTTCCATTCTGTATGCAGGGAATGCTGAAAGGGGAAAAGAGCCCTCATAAACATGTTACCTTCCTGTAAGATATGATCTTGGCATTTCCCAAACTTAGGATTTGCAAATAAAAGGCTGATGGCAACACTGTAAAGGGCTTCAGGGATGTGCAAACATCAAAAATGATTAGCTAATACTTTACCTGCTTGAAAAAACAAAAGAATAAGTGATTTATTACTGACTGCAAAGCAAAACAACCCGGACCCTTGGTTTTTATATATCTTAAACAGTGCTGTCCAAATTCCACAGCAAACCTTTGTGGTCCCTGATGCACACTGTGGATTTATGGCAAAGCAGTGGCCTCATTGTTTTGTCTGTGCAATGGTGACATCCATTACTACACATTTCATTTCTTTTATTGCTCTTTGTATTTTCTGACATTGGGTTTATAGGTGACAAGCATTCCCCTGAGTTTTGACCGAGTTGCCTCCCCTCTCTTGGCCTAACACACGTATTAAAAACATGTGTTTGGATCTGCCTGTTCAAAATTGCCGCAGTACTGAGTGGAAAGAGCAAACGAAAATGTTAATCAATTACACAGGGCTGACAGTACCCCCTCCTACTTCTAGCAGCACAATGCAGTTCATCTCCACGGTGTTTTCTTGTTAGCGTGCCCAATATGAAAAATACAGTCTCCTGTTGGAGTCTAACAGCAGCTAACTTCATACCGTACCATATAAAGCTGCAAGGAGTTTACCACGACTGTGCTGATTGCGCTGATGAGCAGTTATGACTGCACACATACATCCCCACTCAGTGAGGCTGCATGTGCAGCCGCTGCGTAACCCGTTCCACGCGTGTGCGCGACATGAACTGCCCGCAGCTTCTGCTCCCAACACATCCCTTGATGTTTTGACAGCACTTTTAAAGTATTTTAAGTACCAAAGTGGAATGTCATGAGCTCTCCTGAGATTATTTAAATGTGTGGCACTTAGGTGCTTAGTGTCAGTATATTTATACTCTTCCTCCTTCCATGTTTTCTTTTTTTTTCATCACTTTGCTAAGCTTGCTTTTACTGTCTTGGAGGGCTGCACCAGGCAAATATATTGAGAAGTTAGTGACAGTAGAGTATCAGTAAAGCCATCTGCCTTGAGTTAACCTATAAAACAGAAAGAATGATACCTAAAAAATAATAAAAACAGTCCAATGTTTTAACAAATCTTAACCTTTTCAACAGGTTAGTAATTTCCCCAACCTTTTTTAACTCTTTCCTTTTATTGATTATTTTATAGGTATTTGTTTTCTTGTGTTTCTTACTTGCTTCAGTTATTTCTTTTTCCCTACAACGTTTCTCCACCTTACTGCACTTTTTTCATTTCACTTCTTAATCTCTGAATGTTTTTCCTTTTTATCTTTATTACCAGAAGTCTACATGGACTGATCTGTGACACTGACTTTCAGCACAGCTAAAAGAACTTTTTTTTTTTTTTTTCCTCTCCAAGGGTTTTTAAGAGCACTGAGGGGAAATGCTAGTGAGTGTAGATTGCAGGGTAGATAGSCTTCCTCCTGCAAACATAGATTCTTCTTCCTCTCTGCTCTGCCCCTTCTTGGACTCTTCCCTTTGCTAGACAATTAAGGACCTCAGTTCACCACTGTCTTGAGTCTTGTGTAGCTGCCAGTGCTCTGGACAAGAATGTTTCAGTCACAACAAATGAAAACTGCTATGTTAGGGGCCAATGGAGGAGAAAAGTACCCTCTACTGCAAATTTCTTTCCTTGAATCCGTTTTCTGGTATATTTGCATTTAAGCGCTTTCTAGATAGAGGCTACAGAAATTCAGAAATGCCACACAGTCCTAATGGAGAAACATCCGTGCCCTTGCTTGGGACCACTGAGACCTTGTCCGGACAAGGAGAGACAAAGCGAGTCCCCGCACGCACCTCGCAGCGCTTTTCCACCCACGCACAACCACGAGGCCGTTTGGGGCCGTTTTCTGCCGTTCCTGCCCATCTCCAAACCCTGCGCCCTGCAGCCCCAGCGCCACCAGAGGGCGACGAGCCTCAGGGCTCCCCTCAGACCGCAGCGGCGCCCTGAGCAGCCGCGGCCCCGCCGCGAGACGGTGCCCAGCGCGACCCGGCCGCCACATGGCGCCGCGGCCGCAAGATGGCGCCGCCGCCCCCCCCCACCGCGAAATGGCGCCGCCGCTAGGCAGGCGTTGGGTTTAGCGGTCCTCAGGGTGTTAGGTACGCCCGTCGTACTTCGGATGGGCAAAGGCAGAGAGAGAGACCCAAGGAAKCGAGATATTTTTATTACCCGCTAGCCGGGGTCCAAGGCTCACCCTAGAAGGGGGTCTTGCCAGGGACCCTGAGGCAGCTGCGCGAGAAGTTTTTATACATTTTAAAGTAGGGATATGAAATCATTAACCCTCCCCCCCCCATACTGTTTTGTCCTTTCGGGATTGTCTGTTCTTTGTTCGGATACCTGCTTCTTTATCTCACTCTTTGATTTTTTTTCCCAAACTGCCCAAGTGTGGGGGTATCCTTTATGAAGTCCTTGATGTATGTTATCGGTGCTCCAAAACTGCTCCAGTGTAATTTTTTCTCATCTGTCCAAGTGTGGGTAGATGATTTAGGGGTGTCCTTGATGCATGTTATTGATGCTCATGATTTAGGATCTTCCAATTAGCCCAAGTGTGCGCAGTTTGTCCTTCATTCTCCCCTTTTTGACTTGTTCATTTGAGAAATCCTTCTCTGCTAAGAGGTATACTGCTTATAAAAGAACGCCGTTACACATCGCTCAGCAATACTTATACATATCACCATATACTACTCGTAAAAACATGCCGTCACAGCAATACATATTACTATATACTACTTATAAAAGCTTGCTGTTACGCATCGCACAGCAATACATATTACTATATACTACTTATAAAAGCTTGCTGTTACGCATCGCACAGCAATACTTACACACATTATTATCAGAATTAATATTCCCAATATCCTCAATCCTTCTTTTATTATTCCCATTAACCATTTRGGTAAACCCCCAAATACAGATTCTAACCAACCGTCCAATAACCCTTTTTCTTGCACTATCCTTTGTGTATATTCCTTCAACCATCTCAACTGTTCATGTATAGATTGACTGTGATCTGAGAGGCTGAACCAACAAAGTCCATGGAAGTCCTCACAGCCGTGTCCATGCGCCAGGAGAAGRAAATCTATAGCAGCTCGATCCTTTCGGCTTCCTCTTGTTCTGGCAGGCTGGCCTTCCGCACATGCGAGTGATGTATCCACAGGCCTACTCTGTCCACCTTAAGAGCTGTAGGAGTTACAAGGATTACAACATACGGTCCTTTCCATTTTGTTTCTAATGATTTCGGGTTATGGCGTTTTACCCATACCCAGTCTACTGGTTCGAGATCATGTAGGGACCCCTCGGGTAGGTCCCCTTGTTCATATATGGCTCTGATTACCGGATATATTTCCCTGTGGACTTCTTGTATTGCATGCATTGCCTGTATCATATCCCCGGGTAACCCCTTTTTCTCCCTCCATTTSTTTTTGACAGGGTATACCGGCGGGGTGCCCCTACACGATCTCGAAAGGTGTTAGGTTCATCACATACAGCGCGTTTYGTACCGGAATATGGCATAAGGCAGGAGCGTCACCCAATCACCACCAGTCTCTGATATTAATTTTGTTATTGTTTCTTTCAATGTTCGGTTCATCCTCTCTACTTGTCCTGAACTTTGTGGGTTACACTCACAATGCAATTTCCGCTTTGTTCCCACTAAGTGCAGTAAGTTTTGAATTGCATTGGCCACAAAAGCAGGCCTATTGKCAGACCCTATCACTTCCAGTATCCCATATCTGGGAATTATTTCTTCCATCAGTATCTTAGCTACTGTTCGTGCTGTTTCCCGTTTCATTGGGAAAGCTTTTACCCATCCTGAGAAGGTATCTACCATTACCAACWGATACCTATACCCATATTTCCCTGGCTTTACTTCTGTGAAATCTATTTCCCATGCTTTCCCTGGGCTCCGCCCTCTTGATCTCACTCCCGAATGTTGCCCTGTTACTTTTCCTGGTTTCATCTTTTGACAGGCCCTGCAATCTTCTACTATCTTTTGACTTATCACCCCTTGATTGTGGAACCGTAACCTGGCTGAAGCCACTAATTTTGCAGCCTATCTTTCTCCAAGATGTGTTGTTCGATGCAACTGGTTTAATAGCTGCTTCCCCAGAGCTTGAGGCAACATTAGAGTCGAGTCTGAACCCCTATACCATCCATCTTCTCCTTTTTCCGCTTTTCCAGTCCCTTTTATCCATTGGATGTCCTCATCAGTATAATTCGGTGTCTGAGGTAATTGCCCCATCCCTGAGGGAGGGATATTTAGCATCAGTTCCCATCTAGTCCCTTCCTGGTCCTTTTCGAGAGTCGCTCTAGCTGCTTCTTTCGCTGCCTCATCRGCCCTCTGATTCCCTCGGCTAATCGGGTCCGTCACTTTCTCATGTTCAGGGACGTGAATCACAGCTATTGCTTTAGGCTTCTGAATCGCTTCTAACAACCGCAGTATCTCCTCCTTATTTCGAATGTCCCTCCCAGATGATGACACAAATCCTCTTTCTCTATATATTGCACCATGTATGTGCACCGTTCCGTAGGCGTACCAGCTATCGGTATACACAGTCAGCCTCTTCCCTTCAGCCAGTTCTGATGCTCTTGCGAGAGCTATTAGCTCAGCATTCTGTGCCGATGGACTTTGCGGCAGTCGGGCGCTCCGAATGACTCTCCCGCCCAGATCAGTGGTAACTGCCGCTCCCGCCTTTCTGATTCCATTCTCCATGAAACTGCTCCCATCCGTAAACCACACAAGCCCCCCTCCTTCCAGAGGCTTATCTCTTAAGTCTCTTTGCACTGTGACTACTTCAGCCAGTATTTGCTTGCAATCATGCACCGGCTTCTTATAATCCAGATCCAGGAGTAGAGTGGCCGGGTTTAAAACCAGAGGATTTGTAAACTTCAGATGGGTCGGATCTAGCAGCAGGCTTTGGTAATGTGCCAGTCTTGTATTTGTTAACCAYCGTGCTGGGGGCTGCCGGAGAACAGCTTCCACTTGATGCGGGGTAGTAACCCATAGCTGTTGTCCAAAAGTCATTTTGTCCRCAGCTTTAGTCATTAAAGCAGCAGCCGCTATTATTCTCAAGCACGGAGGCCATCCTGCCGCCACAGGATCTAACTTCTTTGACAGATAAGCCACCACCCTCTTCCACGGCCCTTTATTCTGAGTCAGCACTCCCTTAGTAATGCCCTTGTTTTCATCAATAAAAAGGTGAAATTCCTTAGACGGATCGGGGAGTGCCAGGGCTGGGGTTTCTAGCAATGCCTGCTTCAAGGCTTCAAAAGCCTCTTCCATTTCTCGAGTCCATATCCACTCCTGAGACACCCAGCTTCCCTCATAAAGTGGCTTTGCTATTTCAGCATATCCCGGGATCCACAACYGACAATAGCCCACCGAGCCCAGGAATTCCCATACTCCTCGGGCCGATCGTGGTTCGTGGATACACAGTATAGTCTCTTTCATAGGGGCTGTCAGCCACTGTTTCTCTTGGCTTAATTTATATCCCAAGTATACAACTTCCTTTTTACATATCTGTGCTTTCTCGGCGCTGACTCTGTATCCCAATTGAACTAATTCTTGTAGTAAATCTTCAGTACCCCTTTTACAGTCCTCCTCAGTCACTCCCGCTATTAATATATCATCCACATACTGTAATAAGGTTAGTTCAGGGTGCTTATTTCGGTATGACTGTAAATCATCGCTTAGTGCTTCATTAAAGAGGGTTGGTGAGTTTTTGAACCCTTGAGGCAACCTYGTCCAGGTAAGCTGTCCCGATATCCCTTTCTGTAAATCTTCCCATTCRAAGGCAAAGATTTCTTGACTCTTCTCTGCTAGCATTAAAATAAAGAACGCATCCTTTAAATCCAGTACTGTATACCAGCCCATATGGGGGGAGTGTGCTAAGCAGAGTATACAGATTGGGTACAGTTGGATGAATATCTTCAACTCGGGYGTTTATTTCTCTTAGATCCTGTACCGGTTGGTAATCATTCCCGCCTGGCTTCCAAACTGGCAGCAAGGGGGTATTCCAGGGGGACCAGCACTTCTTTAATATCCCGAGCTCTATCAGCTTATTGATACATGGGGTTATTCCTGTCTTCGCCTCCTTCGTCATCGGATACTGTCTCACTCTCACTGGCCTGGCCCCTGGTTTCAGTTCCACAATTATCGGGGCTCTATGGGCAGCCCTCCCGACCCCCCGCTGTTTCGGCCCAGACCTCAGGGATCTTTTCTACCCATTCTGTTATTTCCTGGGTAATCCCTTCTATTCTCCTGGGTTGATATATACGATATTCATCTTCCAACCTCATCGTCAAAACATTTAAAGGATTTCCCTCCCCATCACTTATTTTTACACCTCCTTCCTCAAAATGTATTCTGGCCCTAAGCTTAGTTAATAAATCTCTTCCTAATAACGGGGCTGGACATTCCAGAACATATGTAAAAGAATGCGTAACCTGTTTTGTCCCCAGATCCACCCRCCGATTTGTGGTCCAGTGATAGGATTTCACTCCATTAACCCCCTGAACCAGACYGGTCCTTTCAGCCAGTTTCCCTGTATTTTTATTTAAAACCGAATGTTCAGCCCCGGTATCTACTAAGAATCCTATCTGTTTCCCTTCCACTCCAAGCGTTACCCAGGACTCGGGGAAGGGGGCCGAGTCTCGACACCCTCAGTCGCTTTCCTCACTGTGCTCAGCCATCATTACTTGGACTTGCCTTTTATAATTCTGGAGCCCTCCTCCTTTCCCAGTTCTTTCCTTCTTCCTCTCTGGACATTCATTCTTCCAGTGCCCCCTCCTTTTACATATCGCACATTGATCCCGCTCCAACCTCCCTCTTCCTTCCCTTTCCCCACTTGCCGCTGTGCTCTCTATTCCTCCTTTCCCTGCGTTAAGGATCTTAGCTAACTCCTTTTGATTCCGTCTGTTTTCTCGGACTTGGAATTCCCGATCCTCCTTCCTTATTCTTTCCTGTCTCTCCTCTGGTGTTTCTCGGTTATTATAAACCTTCTCTGCTACTTTTAACAGATCTTGTACTGTCTGTTCCCCTAGTCGATCTATTTTCTGCAGTTTCTTTCTAATATCCGGSGCGGCTTGGTTTACAAAAGCCAAAATTACCGCYGCTCTATTTTCCTCTGCCATTGGATCTAATGGTGGGTATTGTTTGAACGCCTCTAGCACTCGTTCTAAAAACGCGGCTGGGCTTTCTGTGGGTTCCTGTCTGACCGCAAGAACCTTAGCCAAATTGGCGGGTTTACGTGCTGCTGCTCGCAGCCCTGCCATCAGAGTCTGGCGGTATATTCGGAGACGCTCCCTACCTTCAGCCTGCTCGAAGTCCCACGGAGGTCTCGTAAGRGGGAATCCGTCATCTATCAGGTGGGGTTGGGTGGTGGGTCGCCCATCCACCCCAGGTACATGCTTACGCGCTTCTGCTAGGATTCTCTCCCGTTCCTCTGTGGTGAACAAAATTTTTAACAATTGTTGACAGTCATCCCAAGTGGGATTGTGAGTGAACAGTATAGACTCTACAAGGTCTATTAAGGCCGCAGGTTTTTCCGAGAATGACGGATTTTGACTCTTCCAGTTATATAGATCGCTGGAAGAGAATGGCCAATATTGATAAATTTTCTCCCCGTCCGGCCCTGAGCGTAGGGCTCGGAGTGGGTACATTTGTACACTTGAACTTCGCAGTTCATGTTCCCTCTGCTGTGTGCATCCTGGCACCCCATTATTCACACCCTGAGGTTCATCTCTTCCCGGAGGTGACCCCAACTCCGTAGTTGAGGTAGCCCTTGAGGACGAGATAGCTCCTTCTGGGGTGACTGGTACCGGAGCATAAGGCAGGGGATTTTCATCTCCCAGTTCCTCTAAACTGGGATAAGTCTGCGAATTTTGAAAAATTTCCACCTTTTTCTTATCCCCTTTTCCCACATTAGTTGCCAATAATGCTTGAGTTTCTTTAACCTCCAAAGCATCTGGATTATGTCTAATAAATGGCCTCAGCCATTCAGGAGGTTTCTCAACCAAGTCCTCCCATACTGTTATATAAGGTATTTGGTCCGGGTGCCCATCCTGCCCCAGACTTAGAATTTTTCCTTTTATCTTTCTTACCAATTGTACATCCAGGCTGCCCGTTCGCGGCCAGCCCACATCAAAAGTTGGCCATTCGCTAGAACACAATATTATTAGTTTGTTTTTCTTTACCTCCACCGACAAATCATGCCCCCGTCTTTTAACATCCTGAAAACGTTCAACAAAAAGGGAAAGAGGAGTAGACTGACTTTGCCCCATCTTTCCTTCACAAGCAGACAGAAGTAACCACATACACACACACGAGACAACAAATAATATCCCCACAGCCGGCACAGTTATATGCTCATTTTCTACCAGTAAACGGTTCTTATTCCAATACAMGTACCTAACCTTTTCCCAAAAACCTCGGGGTGGCAGGGACGTCTCCCGCACCACCCGCTGGCTACCCTGCTGTGCGGCCACCTGGGTGTCTTGCCAGCTTCCCTGGGTCCGTAGTATCCCGCTTACCAAGACTCTCTCTCCTGTTGGTTTCTCCGTACCCCGTCCGTCCACCTGCTCAGGATCCCGGACRAGCCCCCAAATGTTAGCTACACCCCTCGTACCTCGGACGGACAAAGGCAGAGAGAGAGACCCAAGGAAGCGAGATATTTTTATTACCAGCTAGCTGGGGTCCAAGGCTCACCCTAGAAGGGGGTCTTGCCAGGGACCCCGAGGCAGCTGCGCGAGAGGTTTTTATACATTTTAAAGCAGGGATATGAAATCATTAACCCCACCCCCCCACCCCTTATACTGTTTTGTCCTTTCGGGATTGGCTGTTCTTTGTTCCAATACCTCCTTCTTTATCTCACTCTTTGAAATTTTTTCCCAAACTGTCCAAGTGTGGGGGTATCCTTTATAAAGTCCTCGATGTATGTTATCGGTGCTCCAAAACTGCTCCAGTGTAATTTTTTMTCATCTCTCCAAGTGTGGGTGGATGATTTAGGGGTGTCCTTGATGCATGTTATCGATGCTCATAATTTAGGATCTTCCCAAGTGTGGGCAGTTTGTCCTTCAAGGGAAACGGGGCAGAGGCCGCATTACAAATATTTAGGAGAATTTATGCTTTTAATTTTTTTTTTATTCCCCCAACTGTAGGAGTAGTCCTGCGTGCAGCTAGCCCGTGCCTGGTCAAGACTCCAGCCCCTGCCTCCGTCTTGAGGAGGAACAACCTCAAAATCCTGGCCAAGCTTTGTGGCTGCTAATGACTTCCCCCAGAAAAGGGAGAAAAAGCAGGGGAAGTMAATATCCTCTCAAGGAGCGGCAGCTCTACTGCTTGGTGTTACAGCGAAGAGGTCATGTGGAGTGTCTTTCGTTTGTTTTCCTGCGAGGATGGAGGGGAGAAGGACTAAGGGCTTGGTGCTGGCGGGAGCAGGCCCTGCTGCTGAAGCTGGGCAAGGCAGCAGGGGTGAGCAAGACAAGAGGGTGGGCCTGCAACCTGCACATGTTGCACTGGCTGATTTATTTCCTTATTTGTTTATTTTGGTGGCGGGGAGGAGCAGATGCAGGTGCACACGTGTGCTGGCGGGCAGCAGCCGGCGGGCAGCTGGAGAATGGCTCCGCTGGCAGCGCACCGTCCCCCGGGATCCTGGAGCCAGACTTGCAGACAGAAAAGGTTGCGAGTAGGGCAGAAATTTATTTTATTTTYTCCCCCACAGTTAAATTTTCACAGAAGGCCGGACCTGGAGAAACTGTTAGCGGGGCTGTACTCTGTGGATGTCAGATTGCACACCCTCCTGCCGTCTTGGGATTCGCCTGGGGAGCCAGGGAAATGGTGAGGTGAAACGGTGGCATAAGACCATTTTAGCTGAAACACACTAGCTTGACGGAGACAAAACAACAAGCAGGCCAGGGCTTTGGCTGTGTCGCTTGGGAGCACTGCCTCAGCCTGGCTGCCCTCCAGGGTGGTTTTGGGGCAGTTCTCTGGAGGGGCAGCCGTGCTCCTGCGTCATTCCTCCCTCCCGGCACTGAGGGAAAACGCGGTCTCCTCGGACACGCTTAATTGTCTGCTGCTTGCAAGCAGCACTCGGTGTGCGTGTGCATGTATCTAYATATGCAGTAAGTATATAAATAATGTAATACAGTTATATTACTGAGATTGAAATGCAGGGAGGTGGGGAAAGAGCGTGCTCAGACAGTAGAAGCTAATTTCAGAGGAGCAGCCACAGGCAGATACACATGAAGAAACCAGGCAAACCCAAGAGCCAGCYCTGTAAGCGGTGCCGGATGCCGGAGCGTGGCTGTAATTGCGGTGCTGTGAGCACCCACTGACGGCTTGCAGGCAGAGGAAGCTGCCATGGTGGGGATTATGAAATGGTCTGACAGCAGCTCTAACTCCTGCCGGTCTCAAAACGTTCTCCCTCGTTAGCATCTGCATTTTCAACATGGGCAAGGTGAGGCCATRCAAAATCGTTCGCTGAAAACCAACAAACAAAAGGCACACCTTTCAAATAATCCAGTGTTGTGAATGCAGCTGGGCTAGGTAACAAATTAAAGTTGGTTCATGGGTCTCCACATCTCTAAAATCTCACCATTACATTGGACAGGGAGGGAATGAGTGAAGGGGACAAGGACTGTATAATGTTCCAATGACAGGGGTGGAGTATGGGCAAGGGAGGGTGCAATAGGAAGGAAACTGCCTCTGTTGTTGATCAGGGGGAAGAGAAGCCTGTTGTGGTGCCCAGATTGCCTTTACAAAGCTCTGACCTGATCAGCTATTCCCCGGATGCGAAGTGAGGAGGATCCGCGTGAGATTTCCTGCTGTTGAGCTGCTGCTGAGTCACTGCTGAGCGATCCCGGAGCTGGCAGCCGGTGCGATGACAGTACGTGTATAAATAAACTTGCAGATGACTCCAAGGAAGTGCAGTGCAAGTAACAGCTTGATCAAAAGTGTAGCCCTAAAGGCCCTATACCACCAAAACCAGAGGATGACATTTCAGATGCAGCCTGGATGTACAAAGGGAGATGCGACTGTGGTAGGGAAAGGCCAGCATTAGTGAAAATTGACCACGAGAAATTTATTGCCAAAAAGAGACTGGCAGATAATAGAGATCTTTTCCTCCCTGCTCTTCCTGATTACAAAACCCACCTCATTCAGCAATGCACATCTGCAAAAAAGACCCAAACCTGGAGGAACTGTAATAGCTGCAGATACCTTCACTGGAGCATTTAGTAAGGGTGGAGTGGCATCCCAAGCTGGATCATGCAGTCCTTGGGTTTACAAAGGAGAGCAATGCCCAACCACAACATAAAGCTCTGTTATGTTTTAGGTGAAGATTGCTAGGCTCCTCTTGTGGTGAAATCTCAAAGAGACACTAAAGTGACCTTAAGAGRGCCCTCAAGAGATTATTTCAACCTTGCAGGCTGCCTTTACATGTTGGAACGTGTCTAATTTATTGTCTAGTCATTATTGTTATGTTTTGTTGGAAACGGAGTAAGTAAACTTACACCTTTGAAAGTTTGCACAAAGGGCAGTAGCTGTGTGGTGCAGAATTATTTTTAAAAACACAGTCAACTAGAATATTAACACTGAATGAAGCTGGGCTTCACACAGCTTATGGTATATCACCAAAAATCCCTCCTTTTATCACCTTTTATCTCTTCCCCCACCTGCCCCAATCTTGTGTTTTGTTCATAGGTAAAAGCAGGGAAAAATGTTTGCATTTTCTTTGAAAACACTGTCAAAGACACTGTCAAGTAAAGGAGAAGCCTAAAAAAGACTTGAAAAGCCAACATATCAATCAGTGTTTTTGGAAAATCCTGATAAAGATTTTCTGTCTGATGTTGAAAGGTCATTCTCAATGCAGTCCATGTTTTCCATAGCCGTGAATGGGTTCTTCCCCCTCTGAATGCTTTCGTAGAAAATGGTAAAACAACAATGCAAAATCATAATGGTTAAAGCATGATACGTAGCAGACAGCAGAGATGAGCTGGTATTCTAGTGAAAGGAATGGTAAATAATAAACAAGGCTATTAAGAAACATAGGAGACACAAGCCATTCTGTAGCTAATAGATAACTATGACAGTGCCCTGAGGATACAAGTAGCAGAAAGCAACTACAATGAGTCTTTTTATAGCAGTATATTTTTTGCGAATATGAAAAGACAAAGTAGAAAAAACATSAAAAGACAACTTGTCTCCATGTGTTATTAATGCAGGAGGAAGAACTGAAAGTGCCTCTGGCCCCAGAAAGTGATCTGTGTGTATCACACGTCTGCCAGGAGTGAGGGCAAGAAAGACAAACTGCTGAATAGGGCAAGGAAAAATGGATGAACAAAATCAACAAAAAAAAGGACATAAAGGTCCTTTATGGTTGTGGGATAAAGTGTGAGGCAGTAGTGGCAGCTTGCTAAAATTAAACTAGTGAATCTAAGCATTAAATGTATTTATGGTGGACGTTTTTTGGTTCACTGAGAGTACGCTCAGGATGCAGTTGGCATCTGCTCTGTAGTGGTCTAATAGACTGAATTTGAATAGTAACAGAAATAAATGATTTGTAGCATCGAGCATTTACCGGTGGTACTTTCTGCAGTGATTTAGRGTATGTGGTTCTCACATGCAGGTTCTCAAGTCACCAAATGCTTCATCCTTGAAGTGTCCACACCTCCTGGAGCTCCTCAGGAGCAGTTGCTAGAGCTGTGCCAGATTCTGCTAGCACACTGCCCTGGGCCACTCAGGGACTACATTTGCCACACTGTGACCTCTTGAACGTGAAAAACTTGAGAGAATCTTGACCTTACTTAAATAAATGTCTCATTTTAGAAAGGATTTATTTGCTTCATGCATTCATTTGAAATCCATTCATGTATTTAAAAATAAAAAATGTATATATTTGGACAAAAGGACGACTCTAGGTTCAAAGATGTAAGGCATGGATAAGAAAGCAGAAGAGTCAAGGAAAAGACCCAAGCACAAGATGTTAAACTCTATGACAATAGTCCACATTTTATCTCTCTTCCCACTATGGCAGAGTTTTCCCCAGCATTTGGGAGTCCATCCTGGCTCCCAGAGTGAGGGAGGGCTTCACAGGAGAAGCTCATCAGCCAGTCTGATGGGTTCTTGCAGCACCCCGTACATGTCTGGCTTTGCTCAACACTCACATTTAGGTACCTTCCTATGTGTGGAGGTTTTTAAGAGCTTTCAGGGCAGTGGCTTGATAGCTCTTTGTTTTTTATCTCATCCTCAGGACCTCCACTGCTGTCTGGAATGGCCAAATGCTGTTATTTTCTGCTTTCTCTGCACTGTTCCCTGTATATGTGTGATCTGTGCTATTAACACATTTTTAAAATGTCAAGGAGCCTAGGGAGTACGTTTGATCTGTTCCAACACCTTGAAATCAATGGGATGAGAACAGTTTATGCCAGCTGGGAATCTAGGCTACAACATAACAAGATAGTTATCTTGTGCTTTCCTACGTTCACGTGGTTCCTCATTGCTTCCATTATGAAAAAGAAGGTCTGAATTAAAAAAAAAAAAAAAGTATATATGCTATGTTCTCATTAGTATAGATGCTGTACTCTCAACAAACCTTAATATATTTGTCCTCACAAAATCCTTTTGCGGGCGATGGTAATTTCCTCATTTTACATGGTATTCAGAAGCAGAGAAATTAAGTGAACTGCTTGGAGCTGTGACATCTCTCATGTTCTAGTCTGGTGTTTGGACTTGAAGATTGTCCCTTCTGCCAGATATTATT